AAAATAAAAAATATGTTTGTTCATGCCTAAAAAATGTGTTTGTTCAAGCCTAAAAACAATTGAAATATCTCCCTTCATTGATAAGTCGTGGATAAGCATTACAAATTCATTACAACATAAATGGTTTGGTCATTCATCCAAACAATTTCATTCATTATCATCATCATCTGACATCTCAATATCAGATTCATACATAACATCCATGCTCCACGTGTAGTACTGGTGTGCATCATCCATTAACCCATCTTCGGCACGCTCATTTGCGGTCTTCATTAGTGAGGACCTTTGCAAACGTTGGGTCATGCGATTAACTTCGTCGCAGATACGATACAATGCCCTTTGCAACAACTGTGGAGTGTCAGTTGGCATACGCATGGCTAACCGGCGAGGAAATTTAATATTAACTTCACGACATAACTCGACGAGAACGTTTGCTCGAGTTTTGCGAAATTCCCACTCAGCTCTCATGTGACCTGGTGCACAGGCTTTGGTTTTCTCGATATTTTGCTCGATTATTTGATATACAGTGACAACTCATCTCTTATTGATATATGTGGGATTCTCAATTCAGAAAGTCACATGGCAACAGTGAATTCACTGATTTACCTTACAGTGAGCATGTCCTTATTTTGTCCGTATATGCAGATGGATTGTCAAGTCATGAGACTTGGTGCACAGGCTTTGGTCAAGTTGATTTTTTGCTCGATTTTTTAATTATAGTGACAACTCATCTCTTATTGATATATGTGGGATTCTCAATTCAGAAACTCACATGGTAACAGTGAATTCACTAATTTACCTTACAGTCAGCATGCCCTTATTTTGTCCGTATATGTAGATGGATTGTAAAGTCATGTGACTTGGTGCACATGCTTTGGTTTTCTCGATTTTCTGCTCGATTTTTTTATTACAGTGACAACTCATCTGTTACTGATATATGTGGGATTCTCAATTCAGAAAGTTACATGGCAACAGTGAATTCACTGATTTACCTTACAGTCAGCATGCCTTTATTTTGTCCGTATATGCAGATGGATTGTCAAGTCACGTGACTTCGTACACAGTATTTGCTTTTCTTTGTTTTTTTAGTCTAGTGACACTCATACCTTGTTCATATATGTGGGATTGTGATGCAGAGGCATCTTTCTAAAGCCGTTCATAACCAACTATATAAACGACTAAAGGTGAAGACACAACCTTACAACTTATTTCGCTTTACGAAATTATCATTTATTAGTTTAAAAAAATTAGCATGGCTACATGGTTCATGGGAGGGAGTGAGAATCGCAGAGGTGGTAGGAACTTGCAAAGGGGTGACAGTTCACGACGACGAGGGGGAAGGGGAAGTGGCAATGCTGAAGATGAAACGCCATTTCCTTTGTTAGATGCCTCTTATGCTTATCATGATAGGTTTGGGAAGTGACATTTTGTCATGCCCAAATACTATCGAGATCCATGTGGTTTGGTGGAGGATCCATCAGATAATCAAACAGGATATGGTTTAGCAAACGCTAGACTTCTGAAGTGGCCCGCACTATTTATAGAGCGAGTGCAAATGGAAAGATTATGCCGGGAAAATCGACTGAAGGTGCCAAAAGCACGTTCTGTTGAGATCCAAAAAGAAGATCCTGATAATGTTGATCGACTATGTGAAAGACTACAACGTGAGATTTCTCAAATGCGCCGTAGGTTAGCCCACGATATGCAGCTATATATAGTTAAAAAGGATGCCCAAAAGAATAGAACATAACCAAATGTTGCGGCTATCAACGGTATTATGGAGGATCCTGAGCTTGTCTCTGACGCTGAGCTTTCAGATTATTCAGACTCTGAACCACCTGCCGATTTAAGCGCGAATTAGGTGTTAATGTCTACACTTCGGCAATATTAGGTCATACATTAATATGTAATGTCTGCGTTAGACTAAGTATAACTGTTATGTTATGTTTATGTTTATGTTTATGTTTATGTATTGTGTCTGTCAAATGTTGCGGCTATTAATATGCAATATTAGGTCATGAATTAGGTGTTTGTCTGTCTAACTGTTATGTTTATGTATTGTGTGTTCAGTTCAGGATGTCCAGGATATATGTAATGTGTGTTCAGTTCATGGTGCCCAGAATGTATTTTTGTAGGAGAATTATGTCTGTACTACCTATGTAACTGAAAACTATTACATTTGCAACTTCAGTTATGTTGTTTTCATGCTTGTATGAGTATTTAGTAAATTAGTGACTTCGTATATTATGTACTAAGATTTATTACAAAAATGTTGACAAAATTTATTTTAGGAGCTCTCGTTGTGGCCTTCGTCTTCTTGGCCTACTCCGCGGTGGTCTTCGCGTCTCACCCTTCGTCGTTGCTCGTCGAGCTGCATAGTGTGTAGGTGTGCTTCGGACTGCAGAGCATGCATATCACCTTCTAACTCATAACAAAGACGAAACAAAAAAATAATTTTTTTTAATGAAAACGGGTACAAAACGGTTTTACTAAACTGGTTTTCTGAATTACATTCTCACCTTCTAACCCAAAACAAAGACAAAAGGATAAATATATATATGTATATTTAAATGAAAACGGCTTTCGTAAAGCCAAAATAATTTTCTGAATAATACCTTTTAACTCAAAACAAAGACAAAAGAAAAAAAAAATTTACATGAAAAACGACTTTAGTAAATCAAAAAAAAATATTAATTACATTATCACTTTCTAACCCAAAACAAACACAAAGACAAAAGAAAAAATAAAAAATTTAACATGAGAACAGCTTCAGTAAAGCCAAACAAAATTTATGAATTACATTATCACCGAAACAATGACAACAAAAAAAAAATATTTACAAAAAAAAATTAAATCTAATTTAAATGAACAGTGAAAGTGTGGTTTCAATCCATGCTTACAATGGTGAACAGTGAAACCATGACTTTTGTAAATGAACATGATTGGCTTAATAATATCTAAATAAATATGATTTTAAAATTATATATATGAAAAATATTATGTAAAATAAATATATGAAAAGAGGTTTTTCTCATATTATGTAAAATTTCTAAATTACACCTTTTAAACCAAAAAAAAAAAAAAAAACAAATTTTAACATGACAATGGCTTTAAAGCCAATAAAATTTTATAAATCACATTATCACCAAAACAATGACAACAGGAAAAAAAACAAAATATTAAATAATAATCTGTTTACCAAGAACGAAATGAACACTGAAAGCGTTCTCAATTGCAGTTTAACAGTGTAAACGCTATTCTAAATAGCATTTTCTTCACAAGTAAACTCGCTATTTGTAATAGCGTTTTCTTTACAAAACCAATCCGCAAATAAAGCGTTATTTGGAATAGCGTTTTATACGGGGAAAAAAATTGAGGTTAAAATCGCTATTCGGAACAGTGTTTTCTTAATTAAAATCGCGATTCACAATAACACCTTCACTATTCATCAAATTTTGGCCTCAAAACAGTTAAAACGCGATTTGTAATAGCGCTTTAGCTTAGTTTGAGAAATCCGTCAAAACTAGGCGTAGTTTGGAAAATAGGAGGCAAAAGAGGCTTAGTTTGGGAAAAGCCTCCACAAACACAGCTAATAAGTTTAAAAAAATGTCATTATGAAAATGAAGGAAAAATATTTTAGGCTGTGTTTGGTTATGTTTTGAAATCATGATTCAGCAGCATCACTCACGTATGATGTTTGGTAGGTGTTTTGTAATCACCTTTCGAAAACTCTGCAGAGCGCTCTGTCTCAGCCGCTGTTTTCAGGATTTTTTTTTTGAAAATTTTGCTTGACGTCCGGCCGGTTGACCAGAATAGTGATTTTTTTTTTTTTTTTGCAATTTGTATGTTAATTTTTATATAATCGAAAAAAACATTTTCTAAATTTTTTATGTGCTTTAAAATAATTTTGAGTTGTATGTTTAGTTATGAGTTGTAAATTTTTGTGTCAAATATCAAATGTCACATCAACAATTCCCCACTCAAATCAAAACTCTTTTCAAAACTATTTTCAAAACTCTTTACCAAACAAATTTTTTACACTCAAATCATAATTCTAAACCCCACAAACTTAAAATACAACTCATACTCTCAAATCATAATTACAAAACACAACCAAACGCAACCTTAATTTTTTTTTTTTATATTTAAGACTTATAAATAAATAAGTTCAATAAACAAGACATAATGGTGAATAAGTTATTATGTTTGGTTTGATTTTTCAAAACCTATTTTTTTAAAAAAATTATTTATCTTTATTGAATTTTTTTTAAAAAAATTTATATTTTGGACAAAATTCTCAACTAATTAAAATATGAAAAAAATTAACTAAAAAACAAAAACAAACTCGTCTAAACACACAAATAGGTTTTGTTCGAATTTTATTATATTTTAAACATTTTTCCATATATTCGTTATTTTAAAAGCATATAGAATAGTTGTTTTTAGATTAAAAAAATTAACTAAAACCAAATAAAAACTTATTTTAAAAAAAAGCAAACCAAACAAAATTCCTCTCTATATTCTTTTTTTGAAATTTGAAAAAGAGTAATATTAAAGATTCAAAAAATTCTACCAAAGTTTGAAAATAAACTTTTGGGATCTCCAAGGTCTCCTTTGGTAAGTGTCCTTTTTAGCAAAAAAAGTTATTAAAAAAACTAAAAAACCAACAACTCATATTAAAAAGTCAAAATTTCTTTTTTCTTTTTATTTTTTGCATATCTTTTCGTAAAAAGTCAAAAAATTATCACAAACATATTAATTTATTTTTATATCATATTTTAGTTAAAAAGTCAAAAAAATAAAAAAATTACTAAAAAAAGCCTGTTCCCAAACGAGACTTAAGCATATTTGTATCGCTACTCATTCGGTCCATCAGTAGATTAGACTTGGGCCGAGCCTAATATAATGGGCCAGGTGATTCCGGGTTGTGGACTTTAGGAGAACCCAATTTATAAGTGGGTCAAGTGGGGTCCTTTGCGTGAACAACTTGGAGACCAAGCGATACCATCGCTGCTTTCTCGCCGATGACAAAAACGCACCCAAACCTCTCTCCTCCGGCCACTTCACTACTCTCTCTCTTAAAACCCTGTCTCTCTCCTATCTACTCTCTCTCTCGCTCTCTCTCTCTCCATGGATATCGACTTCACAGAGTATCGCTTGAGCCGTGAACTTCGAGGTCACGAAGATGACGTAAATCTCTCACCTCTCTCGCTCTTGCTTAATTCATTTGGTATTTTTGTTCATCAATGTCAATTTACCTAAAAATACAAGTCTTTACTTTGATGATCGTTGATAGGTTCGTGGTATATGCGTTTGTGGGAGTGTTGGGATTGCTACTTCGTCGAGAGACAGAACAGTTAGGTTTTGGTCATTAGATCCATCGAATGGAAACTTCACCACCTCGAAGTTACTTTTGGGGCATACTAGTTTTGTGGGACCACTGGCTTGGGTTCCACCGAATGAGGAGTTTCCAGAAGGTGGGATTGTGTCTGGTGGAAGGGACACTCTTGTTTTGGTTTGGGACTTGAGAACCGGTGAGGCAGCGCAGACTTTGAAGGCTCATCAATTGCAGGTCACTGGCATTGCGTTGGATGGCTCCGACATTGTGTCGGCATCTATGGATTGGTGAGTTTCGAGTTGTTTATAATCGCGGATTGCAGTGATATAATTCTTCATGATGGTGCTTGTGAATTATAATTACCTTACTAAGTGGGCAAGTTTGGCATGAATCTTTAAATTTTGTATTTGTTTCATATTTCAAGCCCTAACATCTACACACTGCTTTGAAACTCGGGTATCTTTCAAATTGTCAAATTTAACCATAATGTGGCACACTCGAGTTTCAAATTGTGTCGTCATCAGTTGATTGGATGATCGTGTATTGCGGTGATATAATTCTTTATGATGTTACTTGTGAATTATAATTACCTTACGAAGTGGACAAATTTTTCATGAGTCTTTAAATTTCCCTTCCCCAACATGAAATCATGATTCAGCAGCATCACTCACGTATGATGTTTGGTTCAAGCCCTAAAATTCACATGTTGCTATGGAACTCGAATGTCTTTCAATTTGTCAAATTCAACCATAATGTGGCACATGCATTGCTTGTTTGTTTGGTTTCTTGTAATAATTGCAATCGTAATTATGGGGTTCACTTGGGAGCTTAATAAAAGCTTTTTGGAGAAGATAACAAGTAGCATGAGGGGCATGCTAGTGTGCTTCTTGTTTCTCTGTCCGACATGTATTGGACACAAATATGCTGTGGACACATATAGATATGCATAGGACAAGCCATGTTGTGTTTCTAATTTTCGTTTTAAATTTTGCTTACACATGAAGGATACAGCTAGAACAATGTGTGTCCAATGCAGAAACACTCCTTGGACACAATTGGGGTTGTGTTGTAAATTTGAAAAGAAAATTCAATGAATGAAATATTAGAAATACGTGCGAGTGTGTAATAGAAATAGGTAAAAAATTGTGTCTTGTTTCCATATCCGTGTCCATGCTTTTTAGGGGACAATTATATAGTGTATTTAGGATGATGTTATACCATTTAGAATTTATTTTTCTCCATAATAATTAATAAATTTTTGAATAGCTCTCTCTAGGGTCCCTTCATAAGGCTATTTTGGTGGGGAACAATGCAGTAGATTGTCTTGAGAGGAGATTGACTAGGTGGAAAGGACAGTATCTGTCAAAACAAGGCAAGCTCACTCTATAAAAAGCACTTTATTGGGTCTTCCTATGTACTTTTTGTCAATCCATGTTATTCATGCTTATATAGTGAAGAGATTGAAAAATTTACAAAGGAATTTCTTATGGAGTAGTCTTGGTGAGTAGTTTAAGCATCAATCTCGTGAATTGAGAATAGGGTATGTAGGCCAATGAAGGAAGGATGCTTGGGCATTAGACTCTTTAGAGTGTTAATCTGGCCCTTCTTTGGAAGTGGCTGTGGAGATATGCTATTGAAGTGGGTAGCTTGTGAAGGGTATATTGTTTGTAATTTTGTATTTACCCCATTTTTGTTTTTTTGATGTATAGGGGTGCCGCCTCCTTGGCACCAATTAATACGATTCATACTTACTGTAAAATAAATAATTTTTTGGATAGGAATGTTACTTAAAGGAGATTGGAAGCAAATTTTTATAGATTAGATTGGACCCTACAAGCCCCATCCATCATTGCTGGAAATATGTGTGCATGTCATACATTTATGCCAAAAACTATTACAAGTCTGGTGTATAGGTGGCAGTATTTTCCATTTATGGAAATTGTAGAGAAACTTCATAAATTTTTTGAAACGTAATAAATTTCTTGGTCTCCTAAAATTATGAATTAATAGTGGATTGACCATAGGTTGCTCATTGTTGACTATTGCACGTGCAAACTTCCACGCTTCTTATTACTATTTTGCATTTATTTGTTTAATTCTTGATCTTGTTGGCCAATTTGCCTCTTTGAGAAAATGAATGATTTTTTTTTTTTAATCATTGGTGGCTTTATCATTGTAGTACATTAAGACGGTGGAGAAAAGGTCAACCCATTGAGTCTTGGGAGGCTCATAAGGCAGCCATTCAAGCTGTTATAAAGTTAGTTTCAGGCGAGCTTGTTACAGGTATAGTTAATTCAAATACTATGAGGCACGGCAATTTGGTGGTGTGACTGTGAAAGCATATTCCTCTTCTTCTCATATGCTCTTTCTTCTTATCTAGCCTTCAAGTTCCTAATTTTCTTTCTTAATCATTATCTCAACCATCAAATTGCTTTAGGTATAATTCGATTTTATTGACTGTGTTTTATGGTAATTTAGGTTCAAGTGACACAACTCTAAAGCTTTGGAAAGGAAGGACATGTGTGCATACTTTTGTTGGGCATACAGGTTTACTTTTGCCCCTCCTCTTTCTACATGACTATTGCTTTTTGATAATTTTGACACATTTTAATTTTTGATTTATCTTGCATTCTTATCTTTACCTTAGTAATTGTAGTGATTAGATGAGAAATCATTTTCATAATATTCAAGCTTCCTATAAAATGGAAGTGGCAAAATATTTTCAAAATGAATATTGTCTCTAAGTTCAATTACTACCACAAGTTTGAATATGATGTTACTTATTTTATTTTATTTTATTTTTTTTGGGGTTCTTAAACCTGAGTTTTTATCTCTTATTTTACTTTGGTTTATTTGTGTTGTTTTAGATGGATCATACTTATAGATTTTATTTGTTACGAAACGAGATCTTTATTATTAATACCACAAAGGTGGAGGAGACCTTTAATTATTAGGAAATCAAGGCTTGTAGCAACATAAACATTAGCTACGTGGAGATGTGCATAATGGTGGTGGTGGATGTTGAGTATAGAGGTGTGTAGAGCATGAAACATGCCATCCAAATGTGGGTTACGTGCCAAGTTGGAGCTTGGTCCATTGGGCATCTCTCTCCCTCTCTTAGACTAATTAAGGTGCAATCTTGTGGAAAGATTTGCCCTTCGGCTAAACCTTGGTTCTAGCCACCAAGTTAGAGAACCATAAGGCTTCGAGCAGGTTGTGACATGGCCTTGTGCTATGTTACATGGACCTGTGCTATGTTACATGGACTTGTGTATGATTATCGGCTGCAGTGCTTAAGTGTCAGACTTCCTAAACCCAAATCTTAGAATGTTGGGATATGTATCCAAAAATTGAGCATGAGTATGGGGACACATCTTACATATTTATGTATGTTACATATTATATAATTTTCGTAGATAAAATGTTATAAATTATTTACAAATGTACTTCAAATTAAATAGGAAAAATATGGAATTTATAACATTTTATATCTCTCATGCATTTTATTTGTATCTCTCATATGTGTGAGAAGTTAGAAATGTTTCTTTACTAGCAAATGTGAACGTCTTCTTCTTCTTCAAACCAAACTAAACCAAGCCTGAAGTCCCATAAAATGGGGTCGGCTGCATGAATCTTTCTTCTCCACTCGACTCTATAAAATTAGAAATGTTTCGTGTATCTTTAGAAATGTGCTACATCATCTACTATTCCTTTGCCTTGGCCTGCATCTGGTATTGCATAATATGCAGGTGTCTATCTTATTTTGCTTTTTTGAAGTAATATATGATCTTTTAATGAATAGCCATGTGCTTTTGACAACTGTGCAGACACTGTTAGAAGCTTGGCTGTGATGCCTGATTTGGGAATTCTCTCAGCATCTCATGATGGGTAAATATGTTGTTCCATTTCTTTTGGTGGTCTATACAATTCATTGCTTGCTTTCTGTGTGGGGTATGCTTTTGATGTGAGTTTGCATCAAGTGCCAGTCTTAGTGGGTTTAATTGCCGATGTAAAAATTAATTTCATAAAAAGTATATCATTATCATTTACTGAACTTGGTGGTGGTGGACTCTATGACTATCAGTTTGTGTTAAATGATGACCATTACAAGTAAACAAGGGGAATGGAAGTTCAAAGAAAATTAGGCGATGAAATGGGCTTTCACAGTGAATTTGAATCCATTGAAGGGCTGCTCTATTGCAGGATGTCAAGCTATGATCTTCTTACTACATCTTAATAGTTTTTGGTGGCTATTTATGTGAAGTGACCTTTAGTTGTTCCCTGTGCTCTACATTTCATTTGTTTGGAGGGAGGTTGACCTCTGACACTTTACCTTCCTTTTGGAATTTGTCAAGCATCAATGTATGATAATCTACTGATCAATGATCTGGATTTAATTTTTCTTGAAACAGGCGGATACGAAGGAATGTACTTATGCTTCCTATGGAAATTATGCATTAGAATTTTTACTGTAAATCTGCCTTATAATGTAAATTTTAATAGCCAATGCTTAGCTTTAGGATGACTTGCAACTAACTTCTTGACTGTTGAGTGGATGATTAATGATTTATTTTTTTATGCTTGCGTGATCGTAAGATAGGAACTAGTTACACAGGGTCTTTTATGGTGATTTAACTACTGCTTCCCCGTCATGGTGTTCTAATCAATTCTGATATCATAAAACATAAGCATGTTCAATTTTGCATGCTTTTTCGTTTATAGACTTGAGTAATTTGTACACTTTGCAATGCTCTTCCCCTATTCCTTGATTTAGTGTTCAGTGTTATTTTTACTTGGTTTTCACGTTCCAACTTATCTTTAATTTTGGGGTTTGGTTTTATTTTGACAGTTCCATCAGGTTATGGGCACTTACTGGTCAAGTTTTAATGGAGATGGTTGGTCACACTTCTATTGTCTATTCTGTCGATTCACATGTTTCTGGGCTTGTTGTCAGTGGCAGTGAGGATCGTTTTGTGAAGATATGGAAAGGTTTTTCTCTTTGGGATTTATATATGCTTTATCAAAATTCTTCTAGTTCTACTTGGAAAGTCTGTGTGCCTCATATTGCTATTTGCAGTTCTTGTTTGGTTGGTAATTTATTTTCCCTTGGCAAGTGTTTGTTCGGTATGTAAAATAGCTGAAATTTTCAACTAATGTTTTGCTTTTTAATTAGCATGCAGACCTAATTTTTGGTGGGTGCAGGCTTACTGTGGTTCATTAACATTTTGGGAGGTTCTTTTAACTTGGCTTGGTTTCCTGTTCCCCATAAACACCAATACTATATCAATCTGTAATATGTATTTTGACTTTGAGAAACCTGCACTGCTCGTCACAGTCATCATCAATTCAGCTTTGCTATCTAAAATTGATTGTTCATGATTATTGGCTTGGATTTGATATATTTTAAAAGGCTTCTAGGATAGAAGAAATTTTGTTCAAGAGAAATGATGTCTGAGAATTTATGCATGGAGATGTTTCTATATATGAGGGGTAATAGTGGCATTGTTTATTGTCAATTAATTAGCATTAAACCAGTGGTAGTACTAGGAAACTGTATTACTGTCATTTCAAGTTAGTATGTAGTGATAAACCTCTCTCGTTTTCTATCTTCCTCGGTTGCTAGGGTTTCAGACTTCACCTTCAGAGACATTGTACTTTTTGATTGGGTTTATTTGTTTGACATATCGATCAAGTTAGGATGAAGTGATGAACGAATTATATTTGTGTATAACAATGGCACTATTACTATTGTTATTTAATCATGAGTAATATTAGGCAATTGCATTTCACCTATTGAGTTGATGTTAATGGCCAAGTGGAAAGTGAGAAGGTGAAAGAGTTACATTCCCATTTTGGCATTGGCATTATTCTTAAACTCTCAAGCGAGGTGGAAAACAAAAAGAGGAGTAATGTGAAAATTATGATCCTTTTATCTTATTAGGTAATGCACTATTATTATTTTCTATTACTAAAACAGTGAAAATTAGGAACATATTTTCACTATGCAACAAAATTGTCACTACTAGTCAGTCTACACTGTCCTGAAATTTTTGTCCACTTTTGCTTGGGTGATTTTAAAAGGTCAGAATGCTTTTGTGGAAAGAAGGCATATTCTAGAGGCTGTGTTAGTGGCCAATTAGGTGGTGGACTTGAGACTGAAAGTCGGAGAGTGGGGCTTTTCTTATGAGTTGGACATAGAAAAATCTTATGATCACATTTGCTGGGACTTTCTTTGTCCTGCAGTGCAGGAGATGGGCAATGGCTGATGGAAAAGTTGGACGTGATCTTGTGTCTTCTGTCAACTTTTCTATTTTAGAGAATGGAGTTCCAAAAGGTCCTTTTGCGTGCTCTAAGGCCTTGTGACTAGGGAATCCCCTCTTTCCTTTCCTTTGTATTATAGGGATGGAGGTTTTTAGCCATATGACAGCAAGGATGCTTGGAGAAGGTTTATAAATGAATTCATAGTTCAGAATAGGGGTGGCCTATCGATTCATGTGTCTATTTTTTTCGCTGCTGATGCTATTATTTATTGTGAAGTGACAAGGAGTACTAAAAAATTCTAATTTATTTGACTTATCACAAGCTTTTTGCGTGACATACCTAATTTTTTTAGTTTTTTGTTGGACACAAATGCAACTTCTTATTTGGCATATTTTATAAACTTGAAGAGAATTGACAAATATAAACTTCTTTAGATTTGCCAGTTTCATGAAGAAGTAACATCTACGTGCATAAGTAGGTACCAAGGGCATGTGGTGTGCAGACTAGTGTATCTATATGTATATATTAATATATGTAATAGATGTGTGTGTATGTGGGCATGAGATTACTACAATTAGGAATTAGCCTGAGGGTAAATGAAATTAGGCTTAAGGTTATAATTGGAGTTTAAAGTACATAGGGCATAGCAGGCATTGTGGCTAGTGAAGGGTTAAAGGTAGACTAACCATGTAACATATGTGTGTGTGTGTGTGTGTGTAGAATGAGCTCATGTTATACTTGTAAAGAAGTCAAAAGATGATGTAGAGGAGGCGCCACAATCAGTGTCCCTAACATAATGGCGGGCAAATATGAGGTAGTTGTTATATAGTTATTCCTTCAAAAGGTTCGGATAGAATGAAAAGCAATTTTTTGGTGAAGAATAAGACTCATAAGGAGGTAGCAGTTCCCTCATTTTTGTATTATAGTTGTACACTTCTTCTGCAGTAGATGGAGTACCTGAAACTATGTTTTTTATTATTATATTGATCGCTGGTTACGAGAATTAAGTTTATAACCACAAATTTATTTGAAGTGAGCAGCTCCTTTCATCTTTTAATATAGTAAAACTTCGAAAACGAAAACTGTGTGTTTGAAATAATCACTGGTTACTAGTATTAGTGTTATGTTTTTCTTTTCTCGTTTTAAATCTTCAGATTTATTAATTGAATGTTGTTTTTTTACCTGAGAATTGGTTTTGTGTTGCAGATGGAGTTTGTGTCCAATGTATAGAGCATCCTGGTTGTGTTTGGGATGTCAAATTCTTGGAGAATGGTGATATTGTGACTGCATGTTCTGATGGTGTTGTGCGTATTTGGACAATACATCAGGATAAGATTGCTAACTCGTCCGAGCTTGAATCCTTTGCTTCTCAACTTTCTTATTACAAGTGTAGCAGGTAGAACATTGATCAATTGCTTATATAAAGAGCGTCAAACTAATTATCTGTTGTAACATAGGCTCTATGCATGTTGCCATTAAACACTTATTGAAAACTAAATCATCATCCTTGGGTAGTAGTTACCTTATATTTCGGGTTATCTTTATTTTTTCTTTCTTTCAAATCATTTTTTTAATACCTGGATGTTCATTGTGTTATGGTTTTTGAGTTACTCTATAGTCTGAGTGATGTGGTATATAGCGTTTTTATTGCTAGTAAACCACGAAAACAGTTCGATGGCAGGGCCTCTATAACTTGTAAGCTTTGACTAATATATGTGTTGTATCCTGTTGTTTGTACTAGGAAGAGGGTTGGAGGATTGAAATTGGAAGAATTACCAGGGCTAGAGGCTTTGCAGGTTCCAGGTTCGATCCTACTTATGTGCATAGCAAGAAACATTTCATTAATTTTATAACAGTTCTGTTGTCTAAGAACATTCTGATGTTTGATAGATGATGCCACAGTAGTTGGGTGGACATATATTTTGTGTGGAGGAAGACTAGTTTCTTTGATTTGAACTGTATTTGTAAATTTTGTATCAAATTTGCGTTGTATTTATATTGATTTGTTATTACTCGTATGTCAATAGAAAACAGTTGATGAAACACAGAACATATAATTTGACAGATGCTAACCGTTCCCATAATTTGAGGATGTTTGGTGGTCAAAGAGGTTGTAGAAAAGCTGTTTTACATATAAATAATAATAAATTTTGATGGTCTGTTGATCAGGAACAAGAGATGGCCAGACAAAGGTTGTAAGAGAAGGGGACAATGGTGTAGCATATTCATGGAATATGAAGGAGCAGCAGTGGGATAAGGTATTTCCTTCATTTTATTATCTTTTCAGCCCTTCGTCTCATGGTTATAGACCCATCAGGGGTGCCTTTCTTTTATAGTTAACTCAATCCTTGTCCCAACAGAAGCCTAGCATCAATGGACTTTAGCTCAGTGCTTATCCAGGACTCTTCAATAGATAGAGATAAACTCCTTATGAGCTTTATCTTTATCCAGGCTGAGTCCCCTCTTCATTCTAGGACTCTTGTGCCTTATCCGCTTATCTCGGATTCCGATATCTTCAGAGATAACCTCAGCCTTGCCGAGATAACCTCAGCGTCATGACCAGGGCATGTGGCACCTCGGCTGACACGTCGGCGTCACCTTGGCTACATGCTGGTACTCAGAAAATATATCCCCACAACTGCCCCCTAGGTTCTATTACCTTGACATTCTGAGGTGATGAGACCTATATCGGTACTTCTTGCCAGTACATCGGCTTAGAGATTCCCAGCTGACATGTCTCTTTAAAGATCAAAAATTTTCAAGAGCTCCCTCATGCGTATGAGTTGTCAAGCATAATACATCAACTATTTTAACCACGCGTTTTTCCCTTATTGGATCGTACTCCGTACGCGCTTGTAAGTCATCTCGCGCCTGCGTGCGCCGTCTGACGCATACATCATTTTAGGCGCATTAATTGCTTTCTTTTTTCCGCCGTTTCAAGTTTTAACAAAACTTTTTCTCCTTCTGTCTCTTCACTTTACATCGTTTCTGAAGCTCTCTCTCTCTCTAGCCTTTTCCTTCCAAATCTTCCATTGTTCAAGCTTCCAAAGCCCTGCAACTTGCTCCATCCACCTTTTTCGGCGAGGTTCTTACTAATCTTTTCCGCAGCTGCCGTTCGTCTGACCTTGGCAAACTCAACACCGGCTTCTTTTCTTTGGTGAGTTTACTGTTTCTCCTAATTTTAGTTCTTGATGCTTTCCATTACTTGTTGCCATTACTGCTTTGTTCAAACATTCGATTTGCGAATCATATATCTGAATGTATTTATTTCACAATTTTGCTCTTGCCCATGTCTTGAATACATGTACTGCTCACAATTTTCCTGCATTCTTGCCACTGTTCTTGGCCTTATACCCTTTGTACTTACTTTGGCACAATGTTCTTGATAGTTCATCATTGTTCTTGACTCTGAAGCGCATTCTTGCTTTTCTATTTTCCAGATTCGTGCCTTCAATCTTCGTTTCCATAGATTTAGGTTTGGGATTTGTTTGTAGAACCCACAATTTCTTAGGAAAAACCGAAACGATCCCCACAATTTCTTACCCCACAAATTTTTAGGTTTTTGCCGAGGTCCCAATAACCCATTTAAAACACCTTCTTTTTGAAACCCAGTTCCTCCTAGTTAAGCCGATATCATGGGCATGTGGAAACATAGGGTGGACACCCCGACCAAGTTAGATCACTTTAGGCGTGAGTTTGACATCCCTGTCGACGTCTATCTGAGGTTGGCTGGAGAAGATGACTCCATTATGCTTACAACTGATTCTATGCCCTTCCCTGTGGTAGCTTTTATCGAGTGCGAACTTCAGCTCCAACTAAATATCATTTTCCGTGAGATACTTCATTATTATAAGTTGAACCCGATGCAACTCGCCATCAATTCCTATTGAGCCATCAATGGTATCATAGCCTTAGCCAGACAAGAAAACGCTAGGATTACCTTAGTCGATATCCAATACTGCTACACCATGTGTGGCCTCAAAAAAGATACGGGCTACATTTACTACCTTAAGCCGAGGTCCACAGAGTACAAAATTGTTTATTACCTCAAGCCGAGGTCCATCGAATACAAAATCGTTGCCGACCTCCCTGACTCCAACAAGGGAGCGGAGGATGATTACTTCATCGTCTCGGGTAACTGGGAGTTTCAGCCAAACTATGACCTCCATCTTTATCCCCCTAGTCAAACAGTTTTCGGGGAAGGAGCTAGTAAGGGCCACCCTTCACAAATTTTCTTGCTCTCTTGTATAAAGTTTTCAACATTCTGTTATAATGTCTATGCTTTTTTCTTCTTTGCAGTTCTTCCTCAGCCACCAAAGGGCTTCCGTCAGTCTTTCTTTCCCAGCAAAGACTTGAAAAAACTACTAAAATTGCCAGTTCATAAGCGGAAGGCCCCTTTGCTTTTCAACTTCATCCCCACTTATAAGTTGGCTCTTCCCGACGTCCCAAAAAAGAAGAAGAAAAGCCTCTCTCCACCTTCTGCCACGACTCCACAAGTTGTGTCCACATCTTGGACAGACCAAAGATCAACTTCTGATCCAGCTGAGCAGCCGTCAACCTCGGCTCCATACCTAATCCCGCCATCCCAGCGACAACGTCGGCGACGTACTGTTTTTGCTGCTGAGATGGGCCGCCAAAAAGTAGTTGCTAAGGATTTTTTTGGCAATTATCCCTAATTCAGTTGATGCCCAATCTACGCCAACTCAACCTCCAAATCCAAAGCAAAAAAGGGTGACGAAGGCCCAGCCAAAGGCAAAGGTGACTCAGGTTGACACTGGGGATACTTTGCCAATTTCAAAATTGGCTCCAAGTGAGAAAACCACCTTCATCCCCGAGAAGAGGTCTACTGAAACATATCCTGCCGAATCCGCCAGATCAAAGAGGCCGAGGTCGTTTACTGCAACCACCTCGAGGTCCTCAAAGCACGATGCTCCCTGGGCCCCCCAAATCACACTGGAGGATAAGCCAATTAGGGCTAGCGATAGTGCCGACGACATCAACGTCGGCGTTGCCCTTAATACCGCTCTGCTTCTTCCCGGCGATCTCAACCGGAACGCCGAGCTGAGCGAATATGAAAACTATGCTCTGATGCCGAAGAAAATGCGGATTCTGCTGAGGCCATCAAGAAGGTTCTTGAAGTCGAAAAGAGAGAGGCCGAGGAAAAGATGGCCCAGTCCCAAAAAGAACTACAAGAAGCCTTGGCCACGAAGGACGCCGAGCTCAAGGCAGCCGATGAGAAGGGCTACAATGAAGGGGTGGCCGATGTCACGGCTGACTATGAAAAGCAAGTGAAGCAGGCATGCAACAAGGGTTTCACCCTGGGTTGGATGTCTCTTCTAAAAAGCTTAAAGTTCCCGAGGACTCGCCCCTCAGGAACGCCGACGTCATTTCTCTTCCATTCTCTCCAATTCCAACTCAATCCGACGACGAATCTGAGTCCGAGGAGGAGACATTGGTGAGGAAATCAAAGGGCTGAGACCAAGTCCCCTTCTCTGAATGAGCGAGTCTTGGACTTGACTCAAGATGAGGAGGGTGAGGAAGTCCCCAAGGATGCCACTCCTGAGAAGCCGTCATCGGACGTGCCTCTTGCCGATAAGAGCCTCGATCTACCCTTCAAGAAATTGATGCTGAGCTTACAGCTGAGAAGGCCGCCGAGATGTCTTCTCAGCAGTCCTCCGAGGTCCAAACCTAGTCTGCTAATGATGCTGAAGAATCTTAATTTCATGTTTTTCTCTTTCTTCTGTGATCTGTACTTTTATTTTCTTTTGAAACAGTGTAAGCGTTTCATATTGCCGAAGTGCTTTCTTATAAATACAACTTCTTTGTTTTGAACGTTTGTATGTTTGCCTTCTCTTTACTATTCTTGTGTGATTCCATACTTAGAATATTTTGCATATCTTTAATATATACTTCAATCTTTGTGCAACCTTCTCGGGGTGACACACCTCGGTTATACAAACTGATGATTTACCTCAGCAAGTACCCAAGTACCTTTCTTAGCATAACCTTGGTTTCAGCTTGTAAATTTTTTCATAAAATTTCAACAAGTGTTTAACCTTAGTCTAACTTCAACTTGTAAACTTTTTAAGTTTCAACAAGTGTTAAACATAATCTCGGTTTAACTTCAACTTGTAAACTTTTCTCAAGTTTGAACAAGTGTTAAACATGATCTCAGTTTAACTTCAACTTGTAAACTTTTTAAGTTGCAACAAGTATTAAACATAATCTCAGTTTAACTTCAACTTGTAAACTTTTCTCCAGTTTCAACAAGTGTTAAACATGATCTCGGTTTAACTTCAACTTGTAAACTTTTTAAGTTTCAACAAGTGTTAAACATAATCTCAGTATAACTTCAACTTGTAAACTTTTGTCAAGTTTCAACAAGTGTTAAACATGATCTCGGTTTAACTTTAACTTGCAAACTTTTCTCAAGTTTCAACAAGTGTTAAACATAATCTCGGTTTAACTTCAACTTGTAAACTTTTCTCAAGTTTCAACAAGTGTTAAACATAATCTCGGTTTAACTTCAACTTGTAAACTTTTTAAGTTTCAACAAGTGTTAAACATAATCTCAGTTTAACTTCAACTTGTAAACTTTTCTCAAGTTTCAACAAGTGTTAGAACCGTTTTCCAACTCTTTGCCCCCTAATGTGAACTTAAGTTCCACTTGGATTCTCATTACGCATGTATTTTAGAAACATCGGCAAGTATCTTATCAGTCATAAATGTAGAAGAATTCTGCTAAAATTTTATTCATTAAGTCGGCAAAAAACAAGGAAAATCTAATGATAGAAAAATTTCAGATTACAAGTATTTCAGGGTCTTGGCAACTCTTTGCCCTCATTATTTTCAAGCCGATATGCCCCATTGCCCAATACCGAAGTGATTTTGTAGGGTCCTTCCCAATTTAGGCCAAGCTTGCCTTCCCTGGGATCCTTCTTGTTGCCGACGACTTTTCTCAAGACTAGGTCGCCGACTTGGAACTCCCCTGGGTTAACCTTTTTATTGTAAGCCCTAGCAAGCTGCTGCTGGTATGCTGCTAGCTGAATTGCAGCTCTCTCCCTTCTTTCTTCTAGTAGATCCAGATCTCGGGCTAAGAGTACATTATTAGTCCCGTTCTCTACTCCCTGGGTTTTGATCCCTGGTATGTCAACCTCTAGCGGAATGACAGCTTCTGTGCCATAAGCCATGGCAAATGGGGATTTCCCAGTTGATCTTCTCGGCGTAGTCCGATATGCCCAGAGTATACTTGGCAATTCATCCATCCACTTTCCTTTCGCTACTTGCAGCCTTTTTTTATCCCATCCAGGATAACTTTGTTGGATGTTTCTGCTTGTCCATTGCTTTGAGGAAAGCTTGGGGTTGAAAAATAATTTTTGATCTTGAATTTTGCACAGAAGCTCTTGATTAGCTTACTGTCAAATTGTGTTCCATTGTAGGCAACTATTGCTCTTGGAATCCCAAATCTGGTGATGATGTTCCTCCATATGAAGTTCTTCACGTCCACATCTCGGATCTTGGCTAGGGGCACAGCTTCTATCCACTTGGTGAAGTAATCTGTTGCTACCAGCAGGTACTTCCTTTGTCCAGTTACTTAGGGTAGTTGCCCAACGAGATCCATGCCCTATTGGGCAAACAACCAAGGACTGGATATTGGGTTCAGGTCTGCTGCTGGTTGGTGTATCAGGGGCGCAAACCTTTGGCACTTTTCACACTTCTTGACATAGGCCTCTGCATCCTTCTATATGTAGGGCCACCAATATTCTTGGGTGATGGTCCTATGAGCTAGTGATCTGCCCCCAGCGTGGTTTCCATAAGTTCCTTCATGTATTTCATATAAAAAATCTTCAACTTGTGAGGGATGTACACACTTCAAAAGGGGTCCAGTGAAGGATCTTCTGTAGAGATGTCCTTCCGCTGTCAGATTGAATCTTGTCGATTTCAATCTGATCTTGTGTGCCTCTTTGTGGTTATCCGGCAGCTTCCCTTCCTTTAAGAATGCTACAATTGCATCCATCCAGCTTGGTCCCATATCCACACACATTGCTTCATGCTTTGTGGTCAGTGGCTCGATGCTGGGGCCCGACAAGTAGTCAACTATAATTGTTCTTGCTTTCCCAGGTTGTATTGCACTAGCCAGGTTGGCCAGTGCATCGGTGTGACTGTTATCATCTCGGCTTACCTGATGTAGTCGGCAATTCTGAAATAGGGCTACCAACCTGTTGACTTCCTTTGCGTAGGCCGACATCCTTTCATTTCGGGCTACGAACTCGCCCGTTGTTTGGTTGACTATGAGCTACGATTCACAGAAGACTATTATCTCATTTGCTTCTGCTGCTACTGCCAACTTCAGTCCTGCAATCAATGCTTCATACTCTGCTTCATTGTTTGAGGCCTTAAACCCCAAACGAATGGATTGTTCTAATAGCTGTCCATCTGGAGATACCAGAACTACTCCTGCCCCTGTTCCTTATCGGTTTGAGCTCCCATCGACAAACAGTCGAAATGAGTCGTCGATGTAAATGCTGTAGAGTCTTAGTTTTTCCCTCTTCCTTTGTTCTGTTGCATTCGGCTGGGCTTCTCCTTGCTTGCTTGAACATCGTTCACCTCGGCTCAACGGAGTCTGATATACGATGGATTCTGGTGTGAACTTGGCCACGAAGTCGGCCAGAACTTGGTCTTTGATTGCTGTTCTGGGTTTGTACTCCAAGTCATACTGTCCTAAGGCCACTGCCCATCTAGCTATTCTTCTTGTTAGGTCTCCCTGCTGCAATAGGGACTTCAATAGATGTTCAGTTAATTCCACAATCTTGTGGGCTTGAAAGTAATGGTTCAGCTTCTTTGAAGCTATTACTAGTGCCAGCGCCAACTTCTCTAGGGGTAAATACCTGGTTTCTACATCGGCCAGGGTTTTGCTTACATAGTAAACAGCCCTTTGTTCTCATTTTTCTTCTCGAATTACCACTGCACTTACCGCATGTTCTGAAATTGCCAAGTACAGGAACAGCTCCTCTCTAGGTTTTGGATGTGAAAGAACTGGAGCTGTGGTCAGATACTTCTTCAAGTCGGCCAAGGCGGCTTCGCACTCCTCGGCCCATAAGAAATCTGTGGCTTTCTTCACCAAGTTGAAGAAAGGTTTGCACTTGTCTGAGTTTCTGCTTATGAACCCATTCAAGGCTGTGGCCCTTTCAGTCAGCATTTGTACCTGTTTTGCCGACGTCGGGCTCTTCAATTCTAGGATGGCCTTGATCTGAGCTGGGCTAGCCTCAGTGCCCCTTCTGGTCACCAAACAGCCTAAGAACTTACCAGATCCAACTCCAAATGCACACTTCGATGCATTGAGTTGGAGCTAATATGTTTTAAGGATTTCAAAGACTTTTTTTAGGTCGGCCAGATGTCCCTCAGGTTCTTTGGTCTTCATGACCATGTCGTCGATGTAAACTTCCACCGTTCGGCCAATCAGGTGTCTAAACATCTTGGTTACTAATCTTTGGTAAGTTGCTCCTGCATTTTTCAACCCAAAGGGCATCACTCTGTAGCAATACAGCCCTTTTGGGGTGATAAACGCGGTCTTCTCTTCATCTGGAGGGTACATGGCTATCTGGTGATACCCCCTATAGGCATCCAGGAAGCTCATCCTTCCATGCCCTGAAGTGGCATCCACCAGCTGGTCAATCTTGGGTAAAGGAAAGCTGTCTTTCGGACAGGCCTTGTTCAGGCTGGTAAAGTCCACGTAGACCCTCCATTTACCATTCTTTTTCTTCACCACCACTGTGTTTGATAGCCATGTCGGGTAATTTACCTCTCGAATGGCCCTAGCCTCCAGAAGTCTATCTACTTCCTCTTCCACTGCTTCGACGTGTATCAACGTCGGTCTTCTTGCTCGTTGGATTACGGGTTTTGCCGACCTATCAACGTTCAGTTTATGGCAAGTGACTTCGGTGTCAATGCCAGGCATTTCGTAAGGCGTCCAAGCAAACACCTCAATATTTGCTCTAAAAAAAGCTTCTAACTCTTTTTCCTCTTCTTCGGCTAAGCCCGAGCCGAGAAGGAAAAAGTGTTCTTCATCTCCCTCATGGATAAGGATTTTCTTCAGTGCTTCTTCACTCTTCTCGGCTGGCTTCTTGCCGACATCCTCTAGGACCTCCACGTCCTCGCCTTCGATCTCTGCCTTCGCTGGTTCTCGTATGCTGCAGGTGGATTTCATTGCTGCCATGGAGCAATTCTTTGCCTGCAGTTGATCTCCTCTAATATCCTCTATCCCATGTTCTGTTAGGAACCGCAATAGTTGATGCAATGTTGAGGGAACAGCCCCCATCGCATGCAACCACGGCCTTCCCAAGATGATATTGTAAGGGGAGGGTGTGTCGATTACGGTGAACTCTGTCTTTATTTTCTTGGTGCCAGCCTACACCTCCAAGCTTGTCGTTTCCAGTGGCCATGTCAACATTCCATTGAACCCAACCATTGGGCTATTGGATTGCTCCATATCGTCTGGGTGAAGGCCAAGCTCCTTGTAACATCTGACGTACATGATGTCACAAGAGCTGCCTTGGTCGATTAAGATGCGCTTCACTTGGCATTCCCCAACCTGGAGGGATACTACCAAGGTATCGTTATGTGGATGTTGCACCATCTTAAGGTCGACTTCTGTAAAGGATACTACTAGTCCTTGGCACTCCTCTGCCCGATGTCTCTTCGCCCCAACTTGGTAGACATACTGCAAGTGCTTTACCTTCTGAGTCTCCCCCTTAATTTCGTTCTCGTTGACCTTTGAGTGAATTACATTAATTACCCGAGGTCCTCCTGCC